TCCTGGAGAAGAGGTTATGAAGACTGTTGGAATGACAACTGACAACAAAGGATATAAAATATTACATAAGCTTAATTGACAAAGTAGCAGCATGGTTTGAGAGAATTGGTTCCAATTTTGAAAAAAGTTCTGTAGATAAAATGGCATCAAACATCATCATATGCCACAGAGAAATTATTTGTGAAAGGAAAAGTTAATCAATGTAGCAAACTTTATTGTCTCATTTTGAGAAATTTCCACAGCCACCCTGACCTTCAGCAACAACCCTGCTTAGTCAGCCACAGTCGACATCAAGACAAAACTCTCCACAAGCAAAAAGATTATGACTTTCTGAAAGCTCAGATGATGATCAGCATTTTTCAGCAATAAAGTATTTTTTAATTAAGGTGTGTACATTCTTTTTTTTTTTTACATAATGCTGTTGCACACCCAATAAGCAACAGTATAATGTACATATAGCTTTTATATGCACTGGGAAACCAAAAAATTCACTTGACACATTGTGGTATTTGCTTTATTGCGGTGGCCTGAAACTAAACCTGCAGCATCTCCAAGTTATGCCAGTATCAGAGTAAACAAAAAGTTAATAAAAATTTCTCTTTCAACTGATAAAGATTAAATAATAAAACTTGAATATCATCATTTTGAACCTCTAATGAATATGATCATTAATGGCTAAAATTTGCAAAAAGAGTGATGAAATACTATATACTTCCTGAAGGAAGTATAGACCACCAACTGAAACATAGCCTTGCAAGAACAAGGAACAGAATCTGAATCTAATCAGTTTAGAGAAATTCAAGGGACAAAGAAATATATTCAACTACATGAGGTGGATGCAATCAATAAACATCAGATCATGAGAAACTTCTAGGAACAAAAAACTTAGTTTCTTCAAAAACAAAAACATTGCAAGTAAAAAAAAAAAACAAGATGTAGGAAAAACATAGATTAAAAGAGACTTAAGATATTTATCAACAAAATATATGTGAACCTAATTTGGATCCCAGTTCAAACATTTACGCAATATATACATATATATAACTGGAGAAATAGGAACACTGATTGGCTATTTGAGAGTATTAGGAAATTAAATTTTTAAAAAACTAACATATTTGTAGATGAAATTATATCACATCTTAAATTTGCTTCAAAATAATTTAGAAGGATTGTGGGTGGGGTAAAGCTAAAACAAAATTGTCCATTTATTGGTAGCTACTGAAGCTGGATGATGAAGCCATCAGTTCACTATACAGTTCTCTCCTCTATATATGTTTGGAAATTTCCATATTAAAAGTTAGTCATAAGAAAAGAAATGGTCATAATTCAACAATAGAACTTGGGGAACCCAATGCACAGTTGACTTTGTCAGTTTTGTAGATGTTTGGACTTCATGAACCAGCTTAAACTAGTGCCAAAGTAAATAGTTAAATAGAGAAACTTACTGTGAAAAAAAGGATGAGAAGGGCAAGACAGGACAAAATACACTGCAAAATGCAGCATAGACACATACCAAGCAGAAGAACAAAAGATGGCTACAGGAGACTGAACAGGATGTTCAAGGATCTTGGAATAAATAAGCTCTTGGTAAATAGAATTTCTTACCCTGTAATAAGGGAATAGAAAGACCCTATGTCTTTTCAACATTCAGGGACTAATCACCTAAAGGCATTAGAGTTTTGCTAAGTGCTGTGGAAACAAGATCACAAAATAACCTCTGCCTGCAGAATGGAAGTAGGAAAGACACTACCACCACTTTAAGAGACATACAGTAAGTGCAAAGCATCATAACAACTCAGAGAATAAAGTAATGAAGTTTTGCCAGAAGAGTGAAGACTGTTTCAAAGCAATAGTTGAGCTGTTCTTAAAGAATCAGAAATTCACCAGAATGATAGAGATGAAGAACTGTGTATAACTTCTCATTTATTCAGGTTAAAATATTTTTAAGTGAAGTAGGTAAAGTATACAATTTTCCAATATACAAATTTTGTTTAAAAACATGTCATAATATTTCATGTACATAGTAAAAATGCAAGCGGTAAATAAGACCATAAAAAAAAAGTAAAATGTTGTTATGTGGTGCCCTATATACTACTCAGTTTCCAGAGGTCACCACTTTACACTATTTCTGTTTTAGGTTTTTTTGGTAGATTCTCAGTAACTCTAAAATGTTACTGATATTTCTGCTTATTGATATATCAACTTTAAAACATATTAGTTCATTTCCTACTGTGAAATGTGAATTAGCTCACTTAAAATTCTATTCACTTATTGGCTATGTTCTTTTAAGTATTGTTTTCATAATACTTTAATGATTGTAACATATACCCTCATCTTATTACACTCAACCCTAAATTAGTAAGTCCTTTTATCACTTCCTAAACAGTTTAAGAACCTTAAAACAGTTTAACTCCACTTACCGCCACCCTTGATTTTTGTACTATTATTATATATTGTATTTCTACATGTGTTAAATGTATGAAACATTATTCTTATTGTTTAAAGCCATCCATAGCATTGTATTTATAAAAATACTTACCCTTTTTGATGCTCTTTCTTCTTTCATGAATCTCTATGGTTCCATCTAGGATATTTTCCTTCTGCCTGAGTAACTTCCTTGTAAGAGCAAGTCAGCCAGAAACAAATATTTTTTTCTCTATATATACCTCACTTTTGAAAAGTATTTTCACAAGGAATAGAATTATAAGTTGGCAGTTATTTTCAACATGTTAAAGACGACAATTTATTGTATTCTAGCTTAATTGTCTCTGTTTAAAATTCAGTTGACATCTTAAATTCTTTTTTAAGTTTATTTATATGTTTTGAGAGACAGCGTACACGAGCAGGGGAGGGGCAGAGAGAATGGGAGAGAAAATTTTAGGCAGGCTCTGTGCTGTCAGTGAAGAGCCCCACATGGGGCTCCATCTCACAAACCATGAGATCATGACCTGAGCTGAAATCAAGAGTCAGATGCTTAACCAACTGAGCCACCCAGGCGCTCCTTAACTATTTCTTCTTTGAAGGTATCTTTTCTTCTACCTTTGGCTTCAGAGATTTTCTCTTTGTTTTTAGAGTTACACTGTGATGTACCTGCCTACAATAATTTATACTTGGGATTTGTAGAGCTTCTTGCTAATTTGATATTTATGTGGAAAATTCTAGGCCAGTTTCTCTTAAACATTGTTATGTCCTATTTTCTCTCTCCTCTCCTTAAGAAGACCTGCTTTTACATGTTGACCTTGACACTGTTTTCTACATCTCTTGTGCTCTTTCCTAAATTGTATATCCCTTTGTACTTTCTATGCTTAAGTCTGGGTTCCTTCCACTGGCCTCTCTTTAAGTTCACAAAACTTCTTTTCTGCTATGTGTAATCTGTTAGTGAATCTATATATTGAATTATTAATTTCAATTTTGATAGTTTTATTCTAGTATTTCTATTTATTCTGTTTTATAGCTTCTGGGTCTCTGTTAATATTCTCCTTATTTCCCCCCCTATTTTCTTGATTACCATAGTATCTGAAACATCTATATTGTTTCTTTCTAGGTTACCAAGTTTTTGGATCTATTCCTTTTATGTATGCATTATAATTTATGAATTGATACAAGACATAGTATATTAAAAATTTCATTAGTTTGATTACATTTTCTACCATTAAGCAGAAAAATTATAAGCATATTTCCCCTAATTTTGTTAAGGACTGGCTTGTTGTTTTGTTAGGACAGGTGTATTTTACTAGTGCCAACCCTGGGTTGAATATTGCCCATTTCCCACCACCAAATTCACGTCTGCCTGGAACCTCAGAATATGAGTTTATTTAGAAATAAGATCTTTGCAGATTTAGTTAATTAAGATATCTTACTTGGCTATAGTGGGCTCTAAATCAAATGAGTTGTGTCCTTATAAGAAGGCCATAAAAAGATACAGACACACAGAGAGGAATGCTATGTGAAAACAGAGGCAGAGATGGATTTTTGGTCTTTAGGCCAAGGAACACTGAGGATTGCCAGCAACCACCCAAAGCCAGAAGAAGCAAAAAAGTATACTCCCACTTCTGAAAAAGCCTAGCCCTGCTGACACCTTGTTTTTAGACTTCTGACATCTGGAAATGTGAAAGAATACATTTTTGTTGTTTCAAGCCACCCAGTTTGTGGTAATATGTTATGGCAGTCTTACAAAACTAATGCATGCCCTAACTTCTATGGGTTGCCCTTCAGTAGATCAAATCAAAGCCTGAGGTTTTTATGGAGGTTACCCTTCCTAGGGTTCTCTTGCCCCAGCGCTATGTGGCTGCTAAGATATTTGCCTGGGGCTTTAGCTTCTTAGTTACTACTTTCTACTGCAGTTACTTAGAGTCTTGCCCTTCACCTGCACAATTTAAGAGTTGGAGAATGTTCTGAGAGAAGACTCCACAGATACTTTGAGGCTTTCTTTCCTGTGCTGCTAGCCTTATTAGGATTTTGCTCCTCAAGTCCTATGTACTCTGACAGTACCAAACTCCAACCTCTTCGTTTTAACCTGGTGGGATTGAAGTTTTCTCTTAGGACTTTATTCTCCCACACTGTTAATTAGCCCATGTACCCAGGTAAAATCTTTGGAGTTCAGTATGGAAATATAAATTCAACAAACAGATGGTTGACAGAAGGGTGGGGAGTGTGGGGTTGGGCCAAATGGTGAAGGGGAGAGGGAGATACAGTCTTCCAGTTATGGAACGAATAAGTCATAGGACTAAAAGGCACAGCATAAGGAATACAGTCAATGATATTGTAATAGCAATTTAACAGGACAGATGGTAGTTACACCTGTAGTGCACATAGCATATACACTTGTTGAATCACTATGTCATACATTTGAAACTATTATAACATTGTGTATCACCTATACTGAAATTTCAAAAAAAGAAATATTCAAAATTATTTTTCCTCAGTACTTTGGAGGCATTAGCCCACTATTTTATAGTTTCCTGACATGAAATTTTGTGCAAAAAACAAACAAACAAACAGTGCTTTGGCAGCACATACACTAAAATTGAAATGATACAGAGAAGATTAGCATGGCCCCTGTGCAAGGATGACATGCAAATTCATGAAGTATTCCATATTTTTAACCTTTATTAAAAATATTTTTCTTCAATTTTTCCTACTATATTTTTTACTTTTGTGTAAATTTTTTTAATTCTATTTTACTTCCTTTATTTAATTTTAGTCTACTTCAGTGTATTCATTTTTCCAAATTTTTAAATAATTTCTTTTTTTCCTTTTTTTCCCTTTTTTTTCTCTAATCTATCAAGCCACTTTCAACATCTAGATCAAAACACACCTGGGATCTAGCATCATTTATTCGATTTTTGTCTACATGTGTATTTGTTTTTAACTTTTTAATTTTAATTTTTTTTTAATTTTAATTTATTAATTTTAATTTTTCCAGCTCATTAACTCCTTTTCTCTCTTCAAAATGATGAAACGAAGAAATTTACCCCAAAAGAAAGAGCAGGAAGAAAGGACAGCCAGGGACTTAACCAACACAGATACAAGCAAGATGTCTGAACCAGAATTTAGAATCACGATAATAAGAATACTAGCTGGAGTCGAAAATAGATTAGAATCCCTTTCTGTGGAGATAAAAGAAGTAAAAGCTAGTCAGGACAAAATTAAAAAATGCTATAACTGAGCTGCAATCTCGAATGGAGGCCATGGCAGCAAGGATGGATGAGGCAGAACAGAGAATGAGTGATATAGGGGACAAACTTATGGAGAATAATGAAGCAGAAAGAAAAAAGGAGATTTAGGCAAAAGAACACAATTTAAGAATTAGAGAAATCAGTGACTCATTAAAAAGGAACAACAGGGGCGCATGGGTGGCGCAGTCGGTTAAGCATCCGACTTCAGCCAGGTCACGATCTCGCGGTCCGGGAGTTCGAGCCCCGCGTCAGGCTCTGGGCTGATGGCTCAGAGCCTGGAGCCTGTTTCCGATTCTGTGTCTCCCTCTCTCTCTGCCCCTCCCCCGTTCATGCTCTGTCTCTCTCTGTCCCAAAAATAAATAAATAAACGTTTAAAAAAAAAAAAGGAACAACATCAGAATCATACGGGTCCCAGAAGAGGAAGAGAGAGAAATAGGAATAGAAAGGTTATGTGAGGAAATCATAGCAGAAAACATTCCTAGCCTGGGGGAAAGACACAGACATCAAAATCCAGGAAGCCCAGAGGACTCCCATTGGAGTCAATAAAAACTGACCATCATCAAGGCATATCATAGTCAAATTCACAAAATACTCAGGCAAGAAGAGAATCATGAAAGC